AACCACTGTTTACAACCTACAGATCTTGCTTTGACCCAAGACTAACAACCAGCCCCAGATAAGAACACTGCCACCAGAGGAGGTCTGGAAACGAAAGAAACACCAGGACCTCTGGAGGCTGACGGTCTGGTCTGGTCTGCCCCCCCTGCCCGTCTCGCAGGACCGACGCGGTCACTTACTGATGGGCTGTGCGCTGGTGGGGCTCGGGGGCGGGAAGTCCTCGGTGAAGTTCACGTTGCACATGTTGGTGCTGCAGCAGCAGAAGCGGTAGGTGCCGTTCTGGATCTGCGACGGGGTGGTGGTCACCACGCAGCGGTCGTCGTGGCACTCCTGCTGGTCCCCCAGGTGAGCCCAGCACCCTGCGGGACAGACACGCTAATGAGGGGTGGAGGGGGGGGTGGGGGGGGCAGGAGACCCACACACTCGCCTCAGGACCCTCCTCTCCCTGGGCTCCGTCTTCCCTATTTTCTGGCTGGGCAAGGGAGTGCTGGAACTATTTGATTAAGGGTGAGGCTCCTGCAAAACTTGCCAGTTGGTAGAGCTTAAGGAAATTAAGGAGCTGCTGAAGATGTTTTGTCTTATTGGTGATTAGGGCCTTGACTTCTGAGGGCCTACCAGACCTTCAGCACGGGTAGAGGGAGGTAAGGAGGCAAATCAGCCTTCAAGCTGTCGACTCTCGCACTTGACCTTGTAACAGTGCACCAAAAATCAGTACATCTAGCTGTAGGAAAACGTGATCAAAACTACAAGCCCGAGATATCCACCACCTGCTCTTCGTCGACCCTGAAACAGAACCATCAGCAAAGGCTTATTTGCTCCCTAGTGAAAGAAGAACTTGTTCTTTTTTAAAAATGCATGGAGTTCCGCAGTTGGTCGTGGAACAGAGTGCAGGGTTACTTCTACATGCACGCACGTTCAAGCTAAAACACTTGGATTTCTACATTAAAATCACAATACGGCTTCTACAACTACTCAGGGTAGGCAATCAGATGATGGCAGGTTTGGTAACTAAAATCCAGATGTAGCGCTCAAATTAATTTTGTGTATTAATTGGTTCTACACACAATGAGTTACTAATTATTAATTAGTGTCATGTTGCCCATAATAATAATACACATCCACTGTAAGTGATCCCTGTTTAAATGTGCAGTTTAACCTTGTTTTAAAATGTCACCAGCCGCACAGTCAGCTGAACCCAGGGAAGGCAGGTATTTCTCAGCAGTGGTGCAGAGGCTGCAAAAAGCAGGAATGCAATGCAGCCCTGGCCCATAGGCTGAGGCATCACATTTTCACTCTGGCTGAAAACCAATGACGCAGCCCTTCAGAGATCGCATTTGTGATCAATTCCGCAGCGGAATACAGCAATTCCTTACTGTTCAAAAACAACAGCAGCTTACACAGCACAAACTCGAACGAGTCGAAGGACTGTTGCCACTTGAGATTATTTTTCACAAGTTTAACTACACCACCCTACAACACCCTTCAGGTTTTGTATACAAAAGTATCATTTAAAAACGTGTGCGCTGTGTAAATCTGTGAGTGTGTGTGCGTTATTTTACAAAGTTCACAAAAATGGGAGACCACAGGATGGGTTTGAATATTTTTTCAAGACGCCGCACGTTAATTCCCCTCCGAAGATAATGCTGCCGCTGATGGTTCTATTATTATATCTTCATCGTCACTCAAAAGAAAGATTTTTTGGCGACAGCTGCTCTCAGAGGGCTGCAAACGTCACTCCTGGCCAGGCTGAACCGCCCGCGCGCGGTGTGGTCGTGCGGTCGGTCGCGGCATCACCTTGCTTCACCAGGCGAATGTCGCCGTCGTGCGCCTTCTCCCACAGGCCGTAGCAGCGGCTCCCCTTGGCGCAGCGGATGGTGCCGTTCTCCCGCGTGTCCCCGGACACCTGCTCCTCGAACTGGGGCTGCTGGTCGTTGAACGCGCACACCCTCTCCTCGCTCTGCGCGGCTGCGGGGAGACAAGAGGAGCGGGAGAGCAGGATCGTCAGCGGTCACAAACATGGCTGATGCCGTGTGTAAGAAGAGCCTTAGCGATTGTTCTTCCTAAGAAAACTCTTTTGATGTGTGTGTCACAACCCTGATTTTATTCCACAGAACCTGTCCTAACATTCACTGAGGTATCCTGGTTTGGGAACCTTAATAAGCGCGATAAAAACATCTCAGGATCCCTGTTTAATATCAACAATTTCTTTGGGATCTTTCGTTTAATTCTGATCTGGATGGAAGGATCTACATAATTCCCCACCAAACTCACTCCCAGCTTTGCTTTCCTAAGATAGCTCTGCTCTTTTAATGCCTGCACTGTAACGCCTTGATTCCATGGGATTTTCTTTGAATCTGTCCTAAAATTCACTGCAGGAGCCTGGTTTCTTCATCTTAATAACCGCAATAAAATGATCTCAGGATCTCCGTTTAATTTCAACACTTAATTTCTTCTGCATCTTTCATTTAATTCTGATTTGGGGGGAAGAGTCCACCTACTTTCCCACCAAACTCACTTGTAGCAGTTAGCTGATTTTCCTTGGAGGTCTCTCATCCCAGTACTGACCAGTTCCAGCCTTGCTTTCCTAAGAAAGCTCTGCTCTTCTAATGTCTGCACTACAACAATGACTTGATTCCATGGAATATTCTTTCAATCTGTCCTAACATTCCCTGCAGGAGCCTGGTTTGGTAAACTTCAATAACCGCAATAAAAACAGACTTAGCAGGATTGTGGAGATAGCCAGCAAAAGTATTGGTACACAAAGGTAAGACTTCTACCAAACAAATCAAACAAATAGTGCAGAAGGCAAATACAATCATGGACTGTCATGACCACCTCTTGCACAGTGAATATGAGCTCCTTCCACCTGAGTGTTGATTTAGACTGGGAATAAAGAAGTCACCTTTTACTCCCACAGCTATTAACTGCTCAGTCTGGACAACTTACTGTATATTTTGCACTATTACATATATTATTTTCTTTCTCATCATACATGCATGTCTTTTATCTGTAAATGGGTTCACGTTGTGTTAAATGCACTGTGCTCTGTCGTGTCTTTTACCTGCCTGTAAAGCTAATTTCCCACCTGGGACAATAAAGTAAGGAAGAGTTTGTGGGATAAGGCAGAATCAATTGTCTAGGGAGGCTGGCACATGTTTATTTAGGCATTTTGTGGTCAAAAGATGGAAAAAAATCATTAAAATGGGCATGCTTCTCAAAAAGCGAAAACATATTTTGCCGTCAAAATGTCAAACGTTCAGCTTGCCTCGTGTTTTTTTTTTGCTATTTATTATTTTTTGGAGCAGCTGAAGTTGATTAAAATGGACATTTTTGGTAAAAAGAGACAAAGGTCACAAATCTATCATTAAATTCATGGCAACCTGCCTATCTGCCTACTATTTTCTATTTTTAATGTTGGCAACAAAAAAAAAAACTTGCTAAGAAGAGGAAACAGCCATGATTAAATTCAACGAGAACCACAAAAAAGAGCCTCATCCAGTATGGGCAGCAAGTACTTTAATAAACTATGGGTTTCAGTATTGTGTGTTGCTGAAGATGCTAAAAAAGCTCAGCCTGATGGAAACTGCATGTCATCAGTGCTGCAGAAAGGGCTTGTGGGAAAATGCAGAGGCAGTGTTACTGAGACCCAGAAGGCCAAGTGCTCTGTTTGCTTTGTGAAGACATTTGTTGGTTATATTTTTCCTTTACTACATATATAGAAGTATATCAAAGTACTTGGCATAAAAATTGGACAAAAAAGAGAAATGTACACCTTCAAACAATATCAAGAAAAGGTCTGAAGAGAGTGGCAGAACCAATTTCTATATTTAGGGAAAAAAAATAACATCTGGGGTTCATAAAATACATGGGTCATTTTTTCCATTTTCAAGTGCCACTTCAAAAGCAAAATAAAAAGGCAAGCATTTCAGCTTAAACTCCTGGTCTTCAAATTACCTGTTTGTGTACTCCATACCTATCTGACCCAGCACTCAGAAAGGATAACTCCTTTTTTTAGCACACCGGCGTCATGGTAACTACCGAGAAGCGGGTGTAAAAAGCTCTTCCTGGAGAAAATGACTCCATATAGCACTTTTTTTTGTTGTTCAAAGACTAAAGCAGGGCACAAACTTCTGGACAACAGCAGAAACAGATCACTTTTTTTTAATCCTTTGTCACCTTTATAAATCGCAGACAAGATGCACAGAAATGGAAAAATCAATATGTTAATCAAGTTACTTAATTGAAAATCCAATACGAAGAAAAGTGAAGCAAATTAAATACTAAATTTCTTACTGGTGACCTTAACTGAGTTTATAAAACAGTTTTGTACAATACATAGTACTCATATAGAAAACAGAATGTCCTACATTCAAATAGCAGTCTAAGTAAGTATTGCAAAATCCTGGCCACCCTGCTTCTCGATGTGTTAACAATGCCAATATCATAATGCCATATACTGTAAATATTCAAGATGAAATGCACACCAGTTTATGTAATTTTGGTTAAACAGTTAGTGAAACTATGAACCCTTATTATTCAAAAATAAAAAAAAAACATTTTTTTTTGCTTTCTACAAGGGTTTTCATTTTACTACTGTTAGATTCTTTGATGGTAAAATAAGGCCAACATCATGATATGTATACCCTCACCTGTTTACCAATAATTGGTGACAAAAGGTAAATGAGGTAAAATGCTAGATAATGCTGTGAGAACATCTAACAAAGAAAATTTCTACACTTCTTTTAGTGTTCTAACACCATGTTATACACATTTCTGACTTTAAATTAACCTGGGCTTCAGACTGAAATCTGCTTGCTTTGGGTGTTCATTTTACGTTGTTTATTTTCAATGCAGTTCACTTAAGATTATACATATCATAAGTATACATATCACGTAACTAAATATTAAGTGTTTATAAACAAGTTGATACAGTTTAGAGGAGAGAGAGCCTGCTGGTTCCACAGCAGAATGCCCTTTCCTCAAGATGAACTGATCTAAGGCAGCACAATTTTCCCTTCCTTCATTTTTTCCAGCTTTGCGCACAGAACCAAGACTTTTTTCAATCATCTTGAAAATGCCACAGACTGATATGACCCCAAATGTAATAATAAATTGTTAGTCAACTCATTTCACCTCTCATCACCTATACCAGCACAAGAGGAGACCTCATCTGCGCGGACACTAGTGTTGCAAGTATCTCTCTCTGCTCCACACTGCAAACCTGCTGAGCAAACAGCTCAGGTCAGCACAGATGGAACACTGTTGCGGTTTTCTGAAAACTCTGCCAGATCACAGCCATCTAGTCAAAAGACAGGGGGGGGTTCTGTGCAGCAAGACAAGGAATACTCTTGCCAGCCATGAACTCGCTCATCCTCTGCTCAGAAATCTCAACGAAAAAAAGAGAAACCAAGATCTGTACCAGGGTACTACATAGCCCAACCCTCCACTGCAAGCACAGGCCCCCTACAAACTCACACAAATTCTACAATATCTATCCATCCAACCGCTTCATCCAATTCACGGTCGCAGGGGGAGCCGGCGCCTATCCTGGCAAGCAATGAGCGCAAGGCAGGATACACCCTGGGTGGGACGCCAGTCCATCACAGGGCAGACAGACACAAGCACACACACTCACACCAGGGCCAATTCTTCCAGAACCCCATTAACCTACCAGTATGTCTTTGGACTGTGGGAGGAAACACGGGAAGAACATACAAACTACAAGCAGATAGCACCCCAGGCCGGACCTGAACCCAGCGCCCCTGCGCTGCAAGGAAGTGATGCAAACTGCTGCACCACAGTGCTGCCCTCTAGAGCGAATCATTCTTAATTCAGTATAAAGTACAGAAACAAGTGACTTATTTTCATGCTAATCAATGCTGTCTATCCTAATACTAACAAACATTCAAAACATCAAATTAGACTAATTAGTCGTGCACAAAGACCCATCAGTTTGAGTAATGTTATCTTCCGCTGTGCACAGGAAATAAAGCTTAGGACACAGGCATTCAGCCATGATGCTAGGATCATGGCAGGGATCAGGGGAAGATTCACCTGGAAAGAGGTGCCCTTGAGAGAGTCTGGCATGATGCTGTAGCAGCCAGCTGTCCCCAACCCTGACATTTGGCAGGATGGCACAAAGGGTGCCACCCTCCATGGGCTTTGCAGGTCCGTTAACAAGTTGATTAATGTGGGCCTAGTCCGGCCTCCCCCCGTTCAAATAGTTAAGGGCAGTAACCATTGTTAATCTCCCAACTCCCCACCTTGGAACCCTCATTCTTCCGACTCCACTCTCCTCTTTGTCCCCCCAAGCACGTCTAGATACTATATAAGAAGGACCTTCTCTTGCTACGACCCCAAGGATATCAGAGAGTCACCTACCCTGAGCACTTTCAAATCCAGACTCAAAACCTTCTTTATCAAAAGGGCTTTTAGTTACAGGTTGTTTGTTTCCCTTATTTGCATCTTCTACTGCACTTAAAACCCTTTTTATTGTACTACCTTTACCTCCTCATCATTGTTTGTTCTTACTGTAAGCACTCTGAGAAGCTACTTTTAAAAGGTGCTATATATAAAAAAGTTTATTATTATATTATTAAAGTTCAATTCTCCATACACCGGCATCTTTTAAGCATCCTCATGCTACAGGGCTAATTGCCATTAAAGAACGGAACAGTCTGTTTGTTTCCTTGGTAAGTGCTTTAAGTGCTTGTTTCTACCAAATCCGAGCCATGAGTGCAGTACATTATCAATTAAAGCAGCACATTTCATCCCACATTGGGGAAACTAAATGAGAGGACAAGACAAACAGGAAGTGTTGTTCCACAATCTGTGTTCACGTGTACAATTCTTTTTTATTACGCTTTTCAAAATAAACATTTAAGCACAGCCCTAAGGTTTCATTAAAACACATCCTGTTTATTACTTATACTTTTATTTTAGCTTCCTCTTTTACAGACGCAAAA